TGCTGTGGCGTTAGCATTCATGGGCTTAAGCGATTCTTTTGCCTCAGCCTCCCAAGTAGCTGGGACTATAGGCTCTGCCACAATGCCCAGCTAGTTTTAGAGATAAGGTCTCACTCTGGCTCAGGCTAGTCTCGAACCTGTGAGCTCAGGCAGTCTACTCACTTCAGCCTCCCAGAGTGCTAGGATTACAGGTGTTAGCTACTATGCCTGGCTATTGTTTTTGTTAGTTTGTTTGTTTGTTTGAGACAGAGTCTCACTCTGTTGCCTTGGGGTTGAGTGCTATGGCATCAGCCTAACTTATAGCAACCTCAAACTCTTGGATTAAAGTGATCCTCTTGCCTCAGCCTCCCAAATAGCTGGGATTACAGACACCCACCACAACGCCCAGCTAGTTTTTCTATTTTTAGTAGAGATGGTATCTTGCTGTTGCTCAGGTTGGTCTTGAACTCCTGGGCTCAAGCGGTCCACTCACCTTAGCCTCCCAGAGAGCTAGGATTACAGGCCTGAGCCATTGTACTGGGCCTTAGTTTGAGTTTTTATAGACCTAGTGGTACAATGCTAAGAAAACACTGCCAGGTGTTTATAATGTTAAAGCACTTTGTGTCTTAACTCTAAGCCATCTGCTTTTTCAAATATTTTCTTTCAGGTATATGCCCTCAACTATTAGTAATATAGTGGTGAAAGAAGGACCAGCCGTAGAGGTGGATTTTTCTCTCCAGCCAACTGTGATGAAAATCTCTGACCCGACTGAGGCTGTGGCAACTGCTAGCACAGTTGCTGTACCTAATCCTCCTGAAACATCATCCTCCCACCAACCAATTCAGCCAAAAGACTTTCACCACCACCATTTCCCTGATATGGAAATCTTCTTGAGAAGGTTTGCGAATGAATATCCTAACATCACCCACCTTTATTCATTGGGAAAATCAGTAGAGTCAAGAGAACTTTATGTGATGGAGATATCTGATAATCCAGGTGTCCATGAACCAGGTAATTGGTATGGTTTTATGCATAATTAATTAATCAGGAGTGCCTCTCAAAACTTCTATATTACTATGTCTCATCCAGAAAGGTCACCTATCTAAAATTTAAAACAAGAGAAAGAAATAAAATGTAACCAATCTTTTCTCAGAAAAGAAAAAATCCATTTGATAATCCATATTGGGGAAAATATTTAATGTGTGAATAGATAAGATTTCTTCTGCTGATTGTATTTTTGTTTTCATATTATGTGGCTTTCATATATATGCTTTGAGCATCCCCAGATATATGTATTAATTAGTAAGGAAGCTATTTTTTTTGGAGACAGAGCCTCAAGCTATCCCCCTGGATAGAGTGCAATGACATCACAGCTCACAGCAACCTCCAACTCCTGGGCTCAAGCGAGTCTCCTGCCTCTGCCTCCCAAGTAGCTGGGACTACAGGCGCCCGTCACAACACCTGGCTATTTTTTGGTTGCAGCCATCATTGTTGTTTGGCAGGCCCAGGCTGGCCCAGGCAGGCCCACCAGCTCAGGTGTATGTGGCTGACGCCTTAGCTGCTTGAGCCACAGGCGCCGAGCCAGGAAGCTATTTTATAAGAGATTTGTAAAGATTTTTCCTTCTTTCTTTGGCAAAATAAATGTCTCCTTAAATTTTTTGTTCAGGATTTATGTGTTGGGGGAAAAAAGAACAGAGGGACCATGATAATTGAAAAGAGAAAAAAGTCTTCAATTTAATGATTTTGTTTACAGGTGAACCAGAATTTAAGTACATTGGGAATATGCATGGAAATGAAGTGGTTGGAAGAGAGCTGCTGTTGAACCTTATTGAATATCTTTGTAAGAACTTTGGAACAGACTCTGAAGTCACAGATTTGGTTCGTAGCACTAGAATTCACCTTATGCCATCTATGAATCCTGATGGCTATGAAAAGTCCCAGGAAGGTAAAGTATGGCCTGGTTGTTTCCTGGAATTTCTTCCTATTTTTTTCTTATAATTTACAATGGATTTGGCTCTTATATTCTTATAAAATAGGCCAGTCCATTCAACAATTATGTGATAAAGTTTAGTATTTAATGGCATTTTCCACTTGGACATGACGTATGTTTACTAAGAATTGTGGAGAATTTTTAAAAATTGTTTCATTTTAATAGTATTTCTTATTAAATTTTTACATTGGGAACCTTATTTGATAAGTGAAAAACCAGGTATCTTTTGAAGTTAGGACATTTTAAACCTGCTGAACTATTGATTTCCTATTCTTCTGCCTTCTCTGAGCAAGTCCATCTCTTCTGGGGCAATATAGCCAGGGCTGGGAGAGTCAATTTACACAGGCCACCTTATGCAGAATACTACAAGAGCGAGAATCCATCTTCTCCTAGCCCATGATTTTTTGCAGGTGGTGCTAGCTGTGAGTAAACTAGGCCCTACAGTCTGATGTGCAGCCACAGGACTTACTGACCTAACCACTGGAAGAATCAACTGGTCATTATACCTAGAGACTCTCTTGAACAAATAAATAGGCTCAAGCTAATCCTTATATGCACATATATTTTCACATTCTTTCCCTGTGGACCTCATTCTTTGTTAGCTTCGCAAATCCCTCCTACATCCTCCCCAAATCTTTCAGAATGGTGGAACTAATTACTACTAGTGAGCCCTCCTGAAGGTTTTTTATTTGTTTGTTTTGAGACAGAGTCTTGCTCTGTTGCCTGGGATAGAGTGCCATGGCCTCAGCCCAGTTCACATCTACTTCAAATTCCTGGGCTCAAGCAATCCTCCTGCCTCAGCTTCCTGAGTAGCTAGGACTACAGGTGCCCATGAAGATGCTTGGCTAATTTTTCTATTTTCAGCAGAGACGGGGGGGTCTTGCTCTTGCACAGGCTGGTCTTCAATCCTGAGTTCAAGCAGTGCTCCCCTCTTGGCCTCCCTGAGTGCTAGGATTATAGATGTGAGCCAGTTTTTTCATTCACTGGCAATTTTTCTCATTATAATGACAATAGTAGGGCTCCCACTCCTTATTAAAATGAGGTATGCACAGTTAAATTGAACTCTTTCTACTTCATCTGCTTAAACGTCCAACTATATTCTCGGCTAACTTTACTTTTTTGTGATCATTTTAATGTGAACATGCCACAATTTTCTTCTTTTCCTTTGTCTTTTTCTTGCCATGTCTTAATTTGCTTTATGTACATACAGATAGAAGTATAGAGTCCCGCACTGATTCCTACTCAACATTATGATCATGCCACTGTATGTGGATTATTGACAGTTGAGCAGTGCTTTAATATACTTTGTATAATTGGATTTGTTTTGTTTTCAGAGCATGACCAGAGGGTGAAAATAGTTTTACCTCTCTGTTCAGAAAATCTGGAAGACAAATTTTTTTTAATGCACAATATAAAAAAGATGTGTTTTAATCATAGTGTCACTGTGAAGCCTGATGTGTTCATGTGTTCATATTTACCTTTGAGATAGGATAGCTGAAGTAGTATGAGTTGGATTAAAATGCAAATGCAAATGGCTTCAATTTGAATCTTTTATCATACAGGAGATTCAACGAGTGTCATTGGCAGAAACAACAGCAACAACTTTGACCTGAATCGCAATTTTCCAGACCAGTTTGTTCAGATCACAGATCCTACCCAACCGGAAACTATTGCGGTAATGAGTTGGATGAAGTCCTATCCATTTGTTCTGTCAGCAAACCTGCACGGAGGTATGGCAGCTTTATATTTCACTGATTAGTCTGGTTGAGAGCATTTGCAACCCTAGTGGAATTTTTTATGTTTATAGTCTTATGCTTTCTTAAAATGAGTGTCCTATGGCAGAAAACATTAAAGGTCTTTTCGCATTACTTTTTAGGCCAGTTTTCCTGGCTGTTTTCTCCCTTTCTCTCTCTCTTTTCCTCCTGTTGTCTCCACCCCCTTTCTCCTCTCTTCTCTCACCTCCCTTTCACCCCTCTTCTTCTTTCCCCCTTCTCTATTCTCCCCCTCTTTCTCTTCTTCCTCTCATACTTCTTCAAATATTTGATATTTATCTTCCATGTTAGGATCTTGATAACACATTCTTTGTTATTCATAAAAATTAAACACTTACAGATCTGAATGTTTAGTCTTATTTTTCTCCCTAAAGTTTAATAAACTCTTTAATGTAAATTTAGATCTGGATAGTCTCTTACCTTTTACTTTATCTTCAACACATTGCCACACTAGAAAAAAAATCTTTTCCTTGGTGCTACAGTGTTTTATTAGGTCTACATAGGTTAAGAGACATGTGAGTTATATATACTTCATAAGGCCTCAGGCTCACAACAAGCATAAGTTAAATACAACTCATGTGGCAGTTAATGTGTTAACTGCAGCAAAATGGCCCCATTTTCATGTAGTGTCTGAGCTTATACTCCTCTGTATAATTGAGCAGGAACAGATCAGCTCAAGAGTTTGATTAAAAATTATCTCAGGCTCGGTGCCTATAGCTCAAGTGGTTAGGGTGCCGGCCAAATACACCGAGGCTGTTGGGTTCAAGCCCAGCCTGGGCCTGCCAAATAACAATGACAACTGCAATAAAAAAAAATAGCCAGGCCTTATGATGAGTGCCTGTAGTCCCAGCTACTTGGGAGGCTGAGGCAAGAGGTGGCTTAAGCCCAAGAGTTAGAGGTTGCTGTGAGCTGTGATGCCAGAGCACTCTACTGAGGGTGACAAAGTGAGACTCTGTTTCAAAAAAAAAAAAAAAATTATCACAGTGTCCAACTAGGGTTTTGTGAATGAGTGAAGTTATCAGTACCCAAGAAAATTGAAAACATATCCACACATAAACTCACTTGTACACAAATGTTCATTCAGTGTATAGTGTACATATTCATTAATGTTCAGTGTATATGAATGTTCATTCAGCATTATTCATAATCAAAACCTAGAAACAGGCTCGGCACCTGTGGCTCAAGTGGCTAAGATGCCAGCCACGTACACCCAAGGTGGTAGGTTCGAATCCAGCCTGGGCCCACCAAACAACGATAGCTGCAACCAAAAAATAGCCAGGCATTGTGGCGGGCGCCTGTGATCCCAGCTACTTTGGAGGCTGAGGCAGGAGACTCACTTGAGCCCAGGAGTTGGAGGTTGCTGTGAGCTGAAATGCCATGGCACTCTACCCAGGGGGACAGCTTGAGGCTCCTGTCTCAAAAAAAAAAAAAAAAAAAAAACAAAACCTAGAAACAACCCAAACAATGATCAACTGATGAATGGATAAATAAAATGTGGTTTATCCATACAGTGAGATACTTGGCATGCAAAGAAGTGAAGTAAAGGTTGGGCATGGTGGCTCACACCTGTAATTCTAACACTCTGGGAGTCCTAAGCAGGTGGATTGCCTGTGCTCAGGAGTTGGAGATCAGCCTGAGCCAGAGTGAGACCTTGTCTCTAAAAATAGCAAGGTGTTGTGGCGGTCACCTGTAGTCCCAGCTACTCGGGAGGCTGAGGCAAGAGAATCACTTGAGCCCAAGAGTTTGAGGTTGTTGTGAGCTGCGACATCACAGCACTCTACTAAGGGTGATAAAGAGAGACTCTGTCTCAAAAAAAAGGAAGCGAAATTCTGACACATGCTGAACACAAGCCTTGAAAACATTACGCTGAGTGACAGAAGCCAGTCCCAAGAGACCACATAGTGTATGATTTTATTTTTAGAAAATGTTCAAAATAGAAAAATCCACAAAAATGGAGTAGATATAATAGTTGCCTTGGGATGGGATGGATACTAGTGGGAGGGAAGAAGACAGTGACTACAGGGTTTTTTTGTTTTTTTTTTTTAGTCATGAAAATTCTATAACTGGATAGTAATAATGGTTCTATAACCCTGTGAATGTAATATAAGTGAATTACATGGTATATGAATTAAAGAGAAAAGAATGACAAATGTTATCACCAAGAAAAGTAGGGAAGAAATTTAGTGTCAATGTTTGTTGGAATGTCCAAAAGAAGTATCATAGTTAAGATTTCATGGCCTGTGGAGTCTACTTCCACTTGAGAAGGACAGTACATATTTATGGATTTTTAGTTTTAGGAAATTAAGATTCCCTAAAAATTGCTGCGAAGGATTGCTAGTAGTTGTAGAAAAACAAAACCAGAATCATAGTCAGAGTCCCAAGAGTCAGATAGGAATGGTTGACAAAATAAATTTTGGTTCTCTTTTCAAATATTTTACTCCATGTTGGGTAGAAAATATTTCCATTTAGAGCATTAAAAATACTCTCTGAATAAGTCCCATATCATGTTGGCTAAATCTAAAAAGGTAAAAATAGTTACATTCCAGTGAAAATAAGTCACAAATTTACAGATGTGGTCTCAAGACCTTGGCACCGTGAGGGCTAGGAATCTTCAATCATGCAGACATCTTTCTTTTGGTGACATATTTTGTTTTCTCATCTTAAAGTCCTTAAATGGGTTTTGAAATCTTGGCAAAGAAATATAAAGGAGGATTTCTTGTATGCTGTAGGGAAGAAGAAACTTTTGCCCTACCCTCTTAGGAGCATTTGACACATGTGAATTAAGTTGACAAAAGACAACTTAATAGGAGAAAAGTACACAAATTTTATTTGATGTTCATATTTTTATGGAGGGGTTATAGGAAGAAAGTGAAACCCTCAAAGGAGCAGTTAGCTTGAGGATTTCACTGATCTTTTTACAAAAGGCAGAAAATTATGAAAAAGTGACTAGAGAAAGGAAAAGAGCTTTGGGCTTCTAAGGGTGGTAAATTTGGTAAAGTGGCGGAAATGTATGGAGGAAACTAATGAAAGGTAAGGGTTATTTTGGTAGGGTTTGTTTGTGTAGACTCATCTTGGCATTGATGCTGAGAATGTTTTCTTCTTTCTGGTCTGGGAAGGTACCTTTCTCATGAGAAATTTACACCCCTCTTTTAGGTAAAAAGAGGGAAGGCAGAGAGCCCTTCCTTCATCTGCTGTTTCTCAGTTGCCTTTAGCTCAAAATAACTAATATGCCAAAGTGGCATACTTTGGGGTGGTATTTTCTGATCCCCTTCACTGCCAACTTAATAACTTAGAAGGATTTTGAAAGAATATGGGAAAAAGCAATATTCTTTTTTATAAACTTCGATACTAACTTTTTTTATTGAGGTGAAGCTCGTGTAATTCCAGAGACATTTAGTACATTCACATTGTTTTGCGACTGCCACCTCTGTCTTGTTCCAAAATATTTTTATCTCCCTACAAGGATACCTCGTACTCAACCAGTTGCTTCCCAAAATTCCCCTCTTCCCTCAGCCTCTTCTGGTAACCACGGATCTTCGTTCTGTCTCTATGGATTTATTTATTCTGGATATTTCATAGAAATGGAATCACACAATGTATGACCTTTTGTGTCTGGCTTTTTTCACTTAATGTTATGTTTTGAAGGTTCCATCTGTGAGGTGCTGATCTCTACAAGCATATATCAGTACTTTGTTTCTTTCAGTGGCTGAATAATATTTTTATGTATATATACATTTTTTAATCTACTTATTCATTGGTGGACATTTAGATTATTTCTACTTTTTGACTATTATGTGCAATACTGCTATGAAGACTGGCATACCAGTATCTGAGTCCTTGTTTTTAATTTTTGGGGTATTATCTAGGAGAGGAATTAACATATGATAATTACTGGGCAGCGCCTATGGCTCAGTTGTCAGGGGGCCGATCACATACACCAAGGGTGGTGGGTTCAAATCCGGCCCGGGCCAGCTAAAACAACAATGCCAACTGCAACAACAACAAAAAATAGCCAGGCATTGTGGCCGGTGCCTGTAGTCCCAGC